CTAAACCCGAAACCCGAAACCCGAAGCCCTTAGTCCCAAACCCAAAACCCTTTGCAGGGCACGATGGCGCTGTGATCTCGGTGGCCTTCATTGAGGGGTGAAGCCGCAGGCGCAACTGGAAGTTGGGGTTCGGGAGTTTAGGGGTTTAGGGCAGTGGTTTCAGAAGTGCAGCATTGGTAGTTTCCTTTGACTGCTCCTGGTGCAGTGCTCAAATTCTCGCAAGCCTGATTTAATTAAAAACCCTCACCATAGCCAGCACTTTCTGGGAACGTCGGGGGATCAGTGCCAGGTGCTTCTGCCGCCATGCATCTGGGATCCTGATGTGAGTCACGCGGAGAACCGGTTTCGGAATAGGGACTAGGGATTCAGCCCTAAACCCTAAACCCTAAACCTCAGGGGTAGGAGACTCCGCATATGTCCGACAGGATCCATGCTGTGGGAGATCGCAGCAGAACTTTTTCAAGCGACAGCGCTTCTTGGGAGGCGAGAAATGCGGACTCGTCCTTTTGAAGTCGGTGTACGCAATTCAATTAAGGAATATACCCTTAAATTATAGGGGCCTTGATATTATGGTTTAAGGAATATACCTTAAGTTATAGGGGCCTTGACAATTATGGTTTAAGGAATATACCTTAAATTATAGGGGCTTTGATATTATGGTTTAAGGAATATACCTTAAACTATAGGGGCCTTAAAATATTATGGTTTCAGGTATATACCCTTAAACTATAGGGGCCTTAATATTATGGTTTAAGGTATATTCCTTAATTAAGGGGTATTGGGCTCTCTGGGTAAAGTATCTTGTCAGCTAGAGGCCACGATATTTTGGCTTGGGGTGCACGGCTTCACGGGACTCAGCACCTGCACAGAGCACCCGAAACCCCGTCCTCCGAAGGCCCTAAACCCTAAACCCTAAACCCTAAGCCCTAAACCCTAAACCCTAAACCCTAAACCCTAAGCCCTAAGCCCTAAAACCCTGACCTATAAAAGCCCCGAGCCCTGCAACCCGAAAGCTCCAACCCCAAGCCCTAAACCGGTAGAAGCGTTAAAGCCTGAACTCTGAAGGTCTCAGTCGAAGAAAGGGGCTTGTGTTTGGGGTTTAGGGTTTAGGGTTTAGGGTTTAGGGTTTAGGGTTTAGGGGTTAGGGGTTAGGGGTTTAGGGTTTGGGTGACTTTCAGAACGGCCAGGCAGGACAAAGAAGTGAACCTGAAGGCTAGCAAACACGACAGAACTATAGGGACCTGAATAAGTATAGTAAGGAACCCCACATTCTAATTCTGATTTAGAGGCATCTTCTTCTCTGATGCTACTGCTGGCACTCAGCGTGATAATGTTGATTATGGTGGTTTTGAGACGTATAGGGGTTTAGGGTTTAGGATGCCTTTAAGCCTACTGGAACTAGCTTTCGATAGCAGGGAAGCTGCGCCATGGGACGAGAATCTGTGCCGGTATTTCGGCCCCCAAAGCACGCAGTGCACATCCCCATTCGCCGCCGAGAGAGGTGGCAATTCGTGCAACGTTTGGCGTATAAAGATAATTCGAGTGCCAATGCGCTTCAGCCTCCCGCCCACGCGAACCTTCTCCGGAAGACCCCCAGCCCTCAACCCCCAGCCGCAAGCTCTTGAACCCTCGATCCCAACACCTCAAAACCTCGCAAGGAGTACATATACCTTAAACCTTAAACCCTGAACTAAACCCTCAAGCCTGTTCAATCCCTAAGCTGACCTACACTCAACCTTCATCTTCTCTGTATGCCGAACAACACGAGTTTAGGGTTTAGGGTTTCATCTTGTCTGTACGTTCCTTGGGGGCTACTGTTGGGCATTTCCTGCCCTAAACCCTAAACCCTAAACCCTAAACGCCCCTAAACCCTAAACCTGAAGAGCCGAGCCCGGAGCCATGTTGGCCTTCATCCTCTCAAGAAGCATGATCCCAGAGGCTGCAAAACCTCTCTTAATTGAGGAATATACTTGATACCTCAAAGCATATTAGGGTTCCTATTATAACTTAAGGTATCCCTAAACCCTAAACCCCTTCATTAAGGGGTCTTGGAGTCTGTGGGATCACCATGAAACAAGTCCAAGGCAAAGACTTTCTGGGTCCTGAGCCCTGGGACTCGAAGCTCAGAAGCTAACCGAGTTTATCAGCCCATTGGGTAAGCCCGTCATTTAGGGGTTTAGGCTTGGGTTTCGGGTTTAGGGTTTAGGGTTTAGGGTCATGTCGCCTTCCATTCTAAGACCCGAACCTTGCTGCCGCGCACGTTTTCCGAGTTCTCCTGCAGCTTGCTTGTTTGACTATCGGGCAGGCTTGCTGGCGGCAAATTTCAGGAGCATTAGGAAGGAAGAAGAGGACTGATGATTATATCGACGACCAGCCCTAAACCCTGAAACCAATTTCTGTTTATATGCCTCTGGGCGCTGCCGTCAGTCAGCTTTGGATTCACCGACGTTTTGCGACCGTGAATGAACGGTTCCTTTTCGCAAGAGCTGGGGCAGCCATTCGTGACAATTGTCTTCTACGGGCACCGTCAAATGAGACTTATTTTGCTGTGCCGCCGCCGCCACTACCAGTACCACTGCCACTGCCACTGCCCTACCCGTACCCCTATCGCTACCGCTACTGCTACCACTACCGCTACCGTCACTAACCTCTACTGCTTCTACTACGAATGCTACTCCCAGTACTACCAGTGTGACTAGTACTACTGGCACTGCTAACACTAGAACCAGTCCTAGGGGTTGAACTTCGAGATCCACAACGGCCGCCCCAGTAATTCGAAGCTTGCTGCTCTGACGTAGCCATCAGCATGCTTTCCACAAGAGGTCGCAGAGGTCGCGGGTCGCAAGTGCATCGGTAGTAGCAGCAACATGACTTTCTAAAGCCAAAGACCCTCAAACCCTAAACCCTAAACCCTCAAGACCTAACTGACGAAGGCTCAGTCTCAGGCCGTCGCTTTAACACGAATCTTTACCTGCCTCTGGTGGGGGCCCGGAGCAGCGGCAAGCACAGCCATGTCAGGCTTCCCTTGCTGTTGCCGCCGCTGATCCACCTCCAACATCATCATCAACAACAACAACAACAACTACTACTACTACTACTACTGCTGCTCCTGATCCTGCTCCTGCTCCT